ACAAGGTCATCGCAAGTCAATCCAGTAGTGAGTGCTACTATTGGAAGGTCAGTAGTTCTTGCGTAAGTCTGAGTTCCACTGAACAGATCCCAGCTAGTTGGTATTTACTAGCCCATCCATGAGGGTAGATGTGGCAGAAGGCTGGGTTTAATGTGAGTTATCCAAAAATCAAAATCCCCGTAGAACCCACATAAACGGGATTGGGTAGGTCAACCTCCCCAAACAAAACTGCCCTTCGGCATAGCCTCGTCTGGGTTCCTCTCTGCCCAAACACAGAGAGTTCGACAGCAAAGCTGAAACAGATCCCAGCTAGTATATTTAGCCACCACTCACGAGGGTTGCATGTGGCACAAGGTCCAGATCCCAGCTAGTCTCTGTGGTCTGTTGACTTACAGATACTTATTGGTAGTTACTACCTATAGTGTAGTCACTCATGGGGATAACAGGTTATTCCATTACATCAGTTTCATAACACACTAAATAGTGCCAAAAAGCCTGTGCAAATCACAAGAAATTATTATCATCATGGAAGACCTAAATGCAAAAGTAGGAAACAAACAGAGTAGTGATTTAGTTGGTAAGTATGGACTTATATCATGCAACAAGGACATAGAAAAATGGATGCACTGGTGCACAGCAAACAACAAAGTAACACCTGGTTTCAAGATGCATGGAAAAACCTAGGATGGCACACAAAAAACCAGAGAAACATGATGACACTGTATTAGTGGCAGACTCAGAAGAATTCTTAGACAAGGCAGTAAAGGAAAGCAAGAAGAAAGGACTAACTATTAAATGTAACAAGATGTGCATGATTATCCACAGAAGAGATGACCTGGGATGTGAGCTATGTATTGGGGACATTAAAATCAAGCAATTACAGAAATTTAATTATCTGAGTAGTTTAGTAAAAGGTGACAAAAATAGGATATAGAAATCTGAAGATGCATAGGAATAGCAAAATTTGCCTTCCAGAAGCTAAGCAAAATATTCAGAGATAGGAAAATTGAATTAGAAAGGTGTTGAACTGCTAGGAAATATTTATCTCTTATATGGCAAGGAGTGGTGGATAAACTCTTCACAGATGGAGAAGCGGTGAGAGAGATGTGGTTCTACCAAGAATACCATGGACATAACATATGAGCAGCAAATTAAAAAGAAACTAAAACACCAATTATAGTTACAATCAGAAAAAAAGATCAGAAAAAGAGGACTTGGAGAATTTAGCACTCACAGAACATACTGAAAGCAAGAGAAGCAATGAGAAACTGCTTATAACCTACTTACAGCATATATGCTAATAGGTAACAGAACAGGGACAGAGGAATGGTAGACTCAGAAGTTACTTAGAACAACAAGAGTGGAGAGCCGTGGTTGCCTACATGCTGAAGGAACATGGCATATAAAAGAAAAATATATCTTTAAAGAGAAAAAGAATATTTAAAAAATTTTTATCAGTAAATATAAATTGTACATATTCAATCATTTGTATTTAAAAAAAAATAAATGGAAAACTACTTATCTTGAAATAGAGTATTTATTTCCTTTTACAAAGCTGGTAAATTGCCAATTGATATTGCATTATCCTGCAAATTGATCCAGTGTTGTATTGTTTTATTTGCAACTTCATTAACATTCTGCGCTTTCTATAGATAACAGTTAAACTGAATATGCTGGAAATTATTCGCCATACATGTGTAGTTTTGTAAGCAAAAATTTGCTTGATAAAAATTGAAGGAAAAAATAAAATTTAAAAAACAATAATATGTACTTTGAAGATCTGAGGAAAAAGAGAAAACATTATTTTTTTAATTTTCTAGAATAATTTACTACAATTCAAGATATTTTACTGATTTTTAATATTTTTGTTCTATTCTTAAGAATATTTAAATGCACTGAACTCTAGATATCATCTTTCAGTGCTTGAACTAATTAGACTGCCATAAACTCTATATCAGAATTAAGAAAATATCCATTAATATAAGCTGATTTGTTTTTTTGTTTTTTTAAATTATAAAAATAAGCACAAATATACATTAAAAATCAGAAATAACCATCGGCTTGTGTACAAACAAAAGCGCTTTTTCATAAGCAAGGTTAATAGTTGAAAATAAAAGTAGAAATAATATTGGCCTTAAGAAAAATTCATCATCAGCTTTCTATTTTATCTTGGCACAATGTTTTCTTCCCACTATTGCCAGATCTTTCAATAGATGTTGATATTCCTACTGTATAGAAATATTCCCCTAATCTTTTAGCCATTTCTACCTCCACCATGCACTCTCTGGCTGGTATCACCACTCAAAAATTCCCTTCCCAAAATAAGGGGGGGTGCATTCAATGCTCTAAAGCAATTGAAAGTAGATGATAGCGAACCAGTGAGAAACACATAAGATGAGATAATGGTTCACCTATTCTGATATTTTCAATGGTTTCCAGGATTTTACGGGTTGTGTGAGGACAGGCATTATCCAGGCAAAGAATACCAACATTTTACTTCCATTTTCTTTTTTTTTTCAATAGAAATGCATTATTATTGTATTTCTGGGTTTCATTTATCTTTTCTGTCTCTTTTTATGTGCATATTTATATAAAATACATGTGTGTATATATTAATATTTATGAAAGCAAAATCTGTTAATGATAAATGAATATATCTGGTCACTTATGTATTTTTGTATACGTGTGAAATGTATTGCTGTCAATATATATAAAAAATATCATCTATTGAATGATTATACAATAATTGTGCTTGTCCCTTACTCACTTTGTTAGTTTGCACGACCATTACGCACTGCCAATACCTCATAAATAATGAACTATTTTGTTTTGATGACATGGAAAACAAGACATATCAGAGGCACTACTTGGTTTCTATGAAAAAAAGACAGAAAGATAGAAGTGTTTAATGTCTCCTGCTAATATCTCATAAATAATAGACTACTTCATTTTGATTGCCACAAAAGACATCAAAGATGCTACTTGGTTTCAGTCGGAAAATGAAAGAAAGGAAGATAGAAATGTTTGACATTTGTTTCAGTGAAATGGAAAAAGTTGTCAATTTCAAATCTTTTCATTTGTACCTCCTTACTTCTTAAAATAATGACTAGTATTCATATTTATGATTATTATTGCAATATTTTAAGTTGTTAAGTTCAAATATTTAACAATTTGAGAGGGGAATTTCTATAGATATTTTATTGTTGTAAAACTTGGCATGAGCTTATTTAATCATTAATTGAAGAATCAAGATTCATCAGAAATTTCAAATAGGAAAGCCGTGAAATTTTCATGGGTTAAAACTAGTACATATTAACATACTCCTATTCAAAATTACTGTGGAAGCTGAGTGAAGTTTGCTAATTTCTGCTTTCAAGTCATGTGTATGCAAGTAGAGGCAGAACAAATAGCATTTATATTTTTAGTTTTGAAACTGTTACAAATATGCATATACAAGCACATCTATTTATTTATTTTTCAAATAAATAGCAATTGTGATGAAATGACCACTTGCAATAAAAAATCAATAGAGTTTTATTAAAACCAAACTGTTCATAGATTTTGGAATTAAATAGAAAGATTTGGTGCTTGCTATGAGAACAAGCTAGGAATTGCTCTATACACCTATGTAGCAATATACAAGCACTTAAATATTTCTAATATTTAAGTAATTGATAATATTTTCTTCTCTAATATTTTCTTCTATGCTAATAGTTTCTTCTCTCGCACTTTGCACTTGTGGAACTCTTCTGGCCTTTTGCTTTCCTGCCAACTATGATCTTCAAAAATTTAAATGCAATGTTAATTATCTTCTGTTTCCTTAAATCCTTTCCTTTCTTTCACTGTCTCCTCTCCTCAATAACATCTAAGTTTCTTTCACTCTCAGTAACACCTTGTGTCTTTGTGGCCTTTACTGCCTAGCTCGTGTTGAAATTATTTAAAAAAAAAAAAAAGGAATGAAATAGTCTATTCTATACTCAAATCAAGGTGAGGAGCAATTCAGTGTCCTTTTCAGGTCAATAAGAACTATTGGAATTCAGTTGCCAATGAGTCAGTTTTTCATGTGTAATTTTGGATTTAAATTGTTTTGAGGACAAGAAGAAAACTGAGCTCTGGTTCATAAGGATTGTAAACTTTAGAAATAAGTGTTGTTTTTAATCATTTCATCCTAAGTAAGGAAACAAAGCCACTAAGATGCAGGGATTACTGAGTGTGGAAAAATATAAGAAAAATATTATTAAGGAGCAAGAACAATAAAAGAACAGGAATTAAGAAAACAGAAGATAACAACATTGCATTTTGAAGGTCAAACTTGACAGAAAGTAAGAAGTTGGAAGAGAGTTCCACAAGTGAGACATGATAGAAAAAAATGTTAGCACAGAACTTACGGTTACATCTAGCCATTCAAACTGTAAAATGATAAGACCTACCTGCCAATCTAGTACTGCGTCCAAATTCCTAAAGTCTAGTTACAATAGAGGAAAGTGATATTTATTCTGTAAAATACAAAAATGTGGCACAAAACCAAAAGCAGGGATGGGGAAGGCTGGTTTTCTGTCTTACCTCTTAGTCTGTATGAAGTCCCTACCTAATTCCCAAATATACAATTTAACTGAGGTAGGTGGGGAATAAAAATAACAATTTAAAAAAGAGAAAGTTCATCCTAACAATTACCATGAAAGTATTTAGAGAAAAGGCACAGGGAAACTACATAATGAGAAAGTGGTTGAAACTGAGATGACAGGTCAGCACCAATAACATTGCAGATTCTTCAGTTTTTATCAAGGATTGCTAAATATATAGCAGGAGCACCACACCATATGTGGCAAAGTGTTATAGCCATTGTTAATTTATATCACAATGAATAATAATGTCTACTTTTTCAAATACTGTTTTCTTTCAGCTGTAGATAGTGATCTTCAATGATAAGTTTTAGCCATACAAAACTTAAGCAATATACTATCTACAATGAGTTTTACTCTATTTTTCTTTGATTCTAGGTATATTGGTGAACTCATCTCCCAGTTGAATGGATTTTACATTTGCTCTTCATAAAAGATCCAGCTAAATATGTTGGCATCAGTTTGTCTGTTACTGTCCATACTTCACAGCTGCCTGTGTGTGGATCTCACTTATTATGTGGAAGAACGAAAAAGTCCTGGAACACTTGTTGGGGACATTGCTGCTGATTCCCATTTGATGGACAGTGTTCCCCAGAATGACCGCAGCCTTATTCGTTTTGACCAACTGGGAGAAGGTGTAGCTGGAAGAACTTTATTGTTCCGTGTTCCTAAGAAAACTGGGAAGCTGTACACAGCTCAAACACTTGATGCTGAGTTGTTGTGTCAAAATAACAAAGAATGCTTCCAAATAGTCAAAGTTGCAGTCCGTCGTGCAAAGACATTTATGAAGATAATAAATATCAAAGTGGTTGTGCAAGATGTCAATGATCACCAGCCAGAGTTTTCAGAACAGAAGGTGGAAATACAGTTTTCTGAAGATGACAGACGAGGAGCGCGAAGATCAATCCCCAATGCTATTGACAAAGATGTTGGCATCCTGAATTCGCAGATTACATATCAGCTGAAAAAAAATATGGATGATCCATTTACGTTATCTACTTCAAAAAGTCTTGATGGAACATCCAAACTCAGCATAACATTAGAGGACATGTTAGACAGAGAAGTAAAAGACTCATATATGGTTCAAGTAATTGCTAAAGATGGAGGCTCACCATCTCAACAAAGTGTTCTAGACGTCCATATCTCAGTGACAGATGTCAATGATAACCCTCCAGTTTTTTCACAGAATGTCTACAATGTTTCAATTATGTATGAACATGATGTTGCAACACCTGTAGCCATTCTGTCAGCCGATGATTCAGATTCAGGTCCCAACAGTAAAATTACCTATCGTTTCAGTTCCAAAACGTCTGATAATACAAAGGCCCATTTTAGATTGAATGAGATGAAAGGAGAGATTTTCTTACATAAAAAATTCACCTCAGGACAAAAGCCGACTTATAAATTGTATGTGGAAGCCACAGATGGTGGTAGCCCTCCACTAAGTTCTGTTGCAATGGTTCTGGTGAACGTCATCAACCAGCAGAATAATGCCCCAGTGATCAATGTGAACTTCTTTTCTGATTCAGCTGAGAAAACTGATGCCATTTCTGAAGATGTTGAAGTTGGCAGTTTCATTGCCTATGTAATGGTCACTGATCCTGATTTTGGGCTGAACGGTGAGGTCAGCTGCTACCTCAACCATGACAAAATTCAACTTCAAAGTCTAGGCCCCAAAGAGTACAAGATAACTGTAAAAAACCCATTAGATAGGGAGACCGAGGACCACCATGACATTACCATCAGCTGTCAGGACAAAGGCTCCCCTCCTCTTCAAAGTGTGAGCAAGTTCTCAATCCAAGTCATGGATGTCAATGATGTACAACCTCAATTTTCTGAAGAAATATTCCGATTCTGGATCAATGAAAATCAAAAATCAAAAGTTCCTGTCGGTTTTATCAATGCTACTGACCCAGACCTAGGGCCTGGTGGTATACTCACTTATTCTCTGATAATTAATAACAAACATTTTCTTCCATTCCAAATCTCAGATGATGGATTAATTTCAACAGTTATGTCTTTGGATCATGAATTCCAAGACACATATGAATTCCAAGTTTTAGTGAAAGATAATGGAATACCATCCTTGAACAATACCGCCAAAATTATTGTTGAGGTCAGAGATGAAAATGATAATGCTCCATATTTTATATTTCCCAGTGTTAATCCTTATACAATGGATGTTGTGTACTACCCCCACCATACTAATAACATCACAGTACTAAAGGCATCGGACATTGACAGTCGAGAAAATGCCTTTCTTAAGTATGAAATAACTGAAGGAAATGAAAACCAGTTATTCACCATCAATCATTACACTGGTCTTTTGTCTTTCACTCGTGTCGTAACTCAGCAAGATGCCGGATCATATGATTTGGGATTTGTTGTCAAGGACAGTGGGACACCAGTTTTATCTGCAAATGTCGACATGATCTTAAAACTGACTGTTAGTAACAAGACACTTAAAATATCAAATGAAAAACACATGAAAAGCGAAAAGCGAATACACTTAGTTCTTATGATTGTGATTGTTCTGGTTGCCGTTACTGTATCTGTATCCATCACGGCCACCATGTCAATATGCATCATTCGATGTAAGGATCGGAGAAATGCCTCCCACCGAGACGGTGTGAATCGGCCTTGTAAATGTATTGTAGAACATGGAAACTATACTTGTTCATCTCAACAGTCTAACTACTGGCCTGATGCTTCTGTGGTAACAGACACAGAACTCCCGAGAAGCTCTCGAAGAGGACATTGCACAGGAGAAATGAGCAATAGGCAGAAAACAGCAGGTGATGATTATCAGGTGGGTGAAACATTTTCTTAATTTCATTTTCCTGTTTTATACCTGGGGGGGCATCATGTTTAATGCTGGCCAAGCAATATTAATCAAATAATAATCTGCAAAGAAAATAGAAATCTAGCTTGAAAAAGCGGAGACATGTTGAAATTACCTTTAAAAATAACAGGTGGTATAATTCCTCTGAAGTGGCCAGCTTTGTGTCAGCTTCAACATTCTAATTGTGGCATATTCCATTTTTCATATGACAGCTTCAAAATTCTAATTGTGGCATATTCCATTTTTCATATGACAGCTTCAAAATTCTAATTGTGGCATATTCCATTTTTCATATGACAGCTTCAACATTCTAAGTGTGACATAATCCATTTTTCATATGACAGCTTCAACATTCTAATTGTGGCATATTCCATTTTTCACTTAAGGTTATTAGAGTCACTGCTTATTTCTATTTCCATGTTTGTGTCAGCAGAAGGACTTTTTTATATTCCTTGAAATTAACTGGCGTAACCTAAGCTGGCCAAGTATCTTATAGTAATTTATTTTTTCCAGTGTCATGATAAAAGTCTAATTTTAAACTGTTTTATCACATTTTTATTAGTAATTCTACTTTATAGTTTAATATTTTACAAATTCATCAACTGTCCCCTTTGATGAGAGTTCATTGAAAAGCTGTTTTTTTAAGTAATTTCCTGTCTGCTTTTCCAAGCTATATTTAGATTTTATACCTTAAAAAAAAAAAACTGTTTAAAATAGAAATGTGTTGAAACAAGGCATGTAATACATGTATATATGTAATAGCAAGTATAAATGTTTCTAATTTTCTTTCACAATTTTGTAATATTCATAAATATGTATCATGAATTTAAAAATATTTATAATTGTTGTACTTGTCTTTGTATTGAGGTATCATTGCTTTAAGAATATATTATCTATTATCATATTAGTATCGAAATACACATATTTATCTATATAGAGAGGTACATTAATAAGTCCACAGCCTAATAACAAAAAAGTATTTATTTCCCAACATAATCTCTTGCATGTAATTCACTTGTGAATATTAACTATATAGAGTGAACATTATCCGGTGAAAATTTCAGATTTAAATTCAGTAAATATCTACATGTCAGGCTATGAACTTATTGATCTACTCCTGTGTATACAAGTATACAAGGTGTTGGCCAAAGTTTTAGGGAATTTAAAGTATGAAACAAACAAAAATGATGAGGAAAAATGAGCTTCTTTATTTCCTGGTGGAGTGATTTTGAAATGTGAAAAATGTCTGGCAAGACATGGGAAACTGGGTAATTTGGCAGATAAATAAACAGATCGATCCGTTTGTGTTGCTTTAACTTCTGGATAGCACCTTGTAGACATCTACGTGCTTACATAAGAATCTATTAAGAAACGTTTAACAGTTTTGACATCATGTGTTTCCATTAAACTTTTTGCATGCATTAATTTATGAAAGAAGTGAAAAAATGTATATTATTAAAGCAGATGAATATCAATTCATTGTATATTCCAATACATGGTTGACTTAAATCTTAAAGTCAGATGTTTTCTGCTGGCTATTGGCAATATATATATATATATTTTTTTTACAATAATGTTCAACTTGTATAGAGTTCAAGAGCCACTTGAAGTAGGTTACACATTAAGAGGAACAGTTTATAGAGATAACAGTTAGTCCTAAACTTGAACAGGTTAAGATTGTAGTGATTGGAGAAGCATCCTCTTGTGAGTTGGTTTTATAAAGCAGTTGTTTTTTGGGAAGAAACTACATCTCACCAATGGAATATGAGGGGAATGAGGGTGGTTTGCTACAATGTACATGGCATGGCGGGTTGTAGCCATAAAGCTTAGAACTGGTGTAAATAAGGAATGTAGTTCATTTGAATACTTTCCATGGAAATAGGGATGGAGTAGCAAGAATATTGCAACATTTCATCTGTGGGAAAGAGGTTGTAGGATGGAAAATAATTCCTCACTCACAAAGATGTGGAAATACTTTTGGATTCTATCAAGCCTGGACAATTCCTGCCCATATATGGCAGCAGTATGACATTTTCTGCCTGAACTGGCTCTTTTAAAGTTATAAGATAGCAAGAAGAGTCATGTATTTACTGGAGCGGTACAGAGAACTGACCATTTTTCCAGCATCTTTAGCAAGTGATTGTATATATGAGTTCCACAAGATCTGGGTTGAGCTTAAGTCTCAATAGGTGCCAAAGGTATGGGGCCTTCATCACAATAGGCCAAAATTCAGGGTCCATTGGCAATATATTTCATATTCCTAGAAAACAGGCACTAATAATGTTAATGATAGTACTCCAAAACTAAATCTTGCTTCATTACTTATTTTTTAATGTCATATCCCTATAGCAGGTAAGCAATCTTGGCTCTTTACAGATTCCTTTCCTTTATTATCTGGGAATTGCTATGAGTTCTTAGGAAAGGTAATGGAAGGGTTTCTCATTGCCTGCTCCATTGTTTGGAATTCAGAGTTGACCTTTTAGACTGGATATGACTCAAAGATAGAGAGAGGTTACGGAATGTGAAAGAATGAGAAAAAAAGAGAAATATTATTAAGGAGCGAGA